CATCAGCTCCAGAAGGCTTTCTCTGTTGGCTCTGGAGAAAGGTCCTTGTGATGCATCAGTCTTTCCTTGGTCTGGGAGCATCTCAACGCAGGAACCTCAGGTCCAAAGGATGCTCCCGGCACTGCTTTCTTGGTGGTATGAGGTTCCCCTGTGTCTTTGCTCACTTCTCTCTTTTATGTCTCAGAAGAGATTGGCTTAAGACACTATCCAATCTTGTAGTCGTCATCAGTATAACCTCATCATCGTGATAGAGTTTACAACACAGAAGGAAATCACATCAGATTACACAATCATACAACACTGGCAATCATGACCCAGTCAAGCTGACAGAGATTTTTGGAGTACACAGTTCAATCCATGACACATTTTAAATTTGTTCAGTTTGAGATAAAACGATTGCCGCCCAGTAGACTCCGACTCATAGCAACCCTCTAGGACAGAGTAGAACTGCCCCGTAGGGTTTCCAAGGAGTGGCTCGTGGATTCGAACTGCCGACCTTTTGATTAGTAGTCGAGCTCTTAACCACCGCACCACCAGGGCTCTTAGTTTGCAAAAACCAAAGCTATATGATTGCAAAAGAGTACATGCCTTTAGGTAAGAATTTATAAATCAGTTAGAGATTTGAGCCTGTTAAATCAGTGGTTCTCAACCCTGCCTTAGAAACACCTGGAGAGCTTTAAACAAACACTGACGTGGGCTCCGCTCCTGAGATTCCCTTTCAGTGGTCTTGGGTAGGGCATGGGCATTGGTATTTAAAAAGAATCTTCCCAAGTGGATCAGCTTAGCAGCCAGTGTTGCGAACCAACCATTGCTGTTCAAGTTGATGAGATCTTTAAGTGAGACACCGTGGTGGAATTCTTACCCCTGATTATACGGTAGAATCACTTGGGGAGCTTGGGAGGTGGGGGGAACTACGATGCCCTATGCCACCTCTCTGAGGTTCTGGTTCATTTGTTCTGGAATGGGGTCTAGATGAAAAGCCCCACAGTGGAATCCATTCTGCAGCCAGGGTTGAGAATCACTGATGTGGAGAGAGAAGTGTAGAGACTTAAGGAGAAAACTCAACATTACACAGATGCTTGTATTTTGACACCAGTTGAACTATTCTCCCACTTCTTTTCTCTTGCATAATTTTAAAACAGCAAATAAATTAAAGACAGGATAGGATGCCTCTAGTATTATCCTCAATGGCTCCTTCAAATGGCCTGGAATAGAGAGAATATCTAGTGTTACTTAATTGCTAGTAGCCTATTACAGGATTCCTAGAGAATGAGGAAGATGGGATCCAAACTTAGTAGCACAGAGCCAGGGCTCATAGAGAACTGGAACATTGGTCAGCATACAATGGAGCCCTGGTAGCCCAGTGATTAAGCAGTTGGCTGCTAACCAAAAGGTTGGGGATTTGAACCCACCAGCTGCTCCATGGGAGAAAGATGTGGCAGTCTGTTTCCGTATAGATTTACAGCCTTGGATATCCTATGGGGCAGTTCTTCTCTGTCCTATAGGCTTGCTATGAGTCAGAATTGACCCGATGGCAATGGGTTTGGTTTGGTTTATACAGTAGAGATCCTGTAACTGGTTGTCTTCGCCCATCCCTTTCACCTATTCCAGCAGGTGAGGTACCTGTCTGACTTTATCTCCTACCACTCCACTTCCCCTCCCGTTTCCTGCGTTCTACCTTTACTGGGCTCTCCTTGCTGTTTCTTGAACACGCCAAGCTTGTTCCTACCTCAGGGCCTTTGCACTTGTTTCCTCTGTCTGAGATACTTTGCCTGTAGATATCTATGGAGTCCCTGGGTGGCACAAATGGTTAAGTGCCCCCATCCAGAGGTGCTTCAGAAGAAAGACCTGGTGATCTTTGTCCATAGGGTCACAGCCATGAAAACCCGATGGAGCTCAGTTATATTTTGCAATACATAGGGTCACCATGAGCCTGAATTGACTCAAAGGCAACAGGTTTACTTATCTATGTGGCCTACCTCTCTCTTTATTCAAGTTTCTGCTCAGATGTCACCTTCCCTAACACTTTTGTCTAAAATAAGCATCCTCTCTCCCACTCTATCCTCATAAGCTGCTTTACTTTTCTTCATAGTACTAATCACCTCATGACATATATCTATCTATTTCTTTATACTGTCTCCCTCACTGGCAGAGTAAGGACTTATTTTGTCCCCTGATGTTCATCAGGGGTTATATGGTACAGTGACATAATATCAAAAAATATTAGGTTGAATGAATGAATAACAGTTGCTCGCAGTGGCTGCTGCCCGTCCAGGACTGACAGCGAGCTCGTGTGAGAAGGAGGGGGTGGGCCGAGTGCAGCTGGGTATCTCCTGTGCTGACTTAGTGCGGTGTCTCAGCCGTGGTGCCGACGCCGTCAGTGTTCATTGGGTGAATAAAAAGACAAAATACTAAGAATAATAAAGCAGATAGGGAAGAAAGAGGAACAAGAAGAGGAAAAAAATGAAGGTAAATAATGTGAAAACAAAACTCTGCCTTCAATATGTTTTACATAAATTATAACCCATTGCAGTTGAGTCGATTCTGACTCATAGCGACCCTACAGGACAGAGTAGAACTGCCCCATAGGGCTTCCAAGGCTATAATCTTAATGGAAGCGGGCTGCCACATCTTTCTCCTGCAGAGCGGCTGGTGGGTTCAAACCAGTATTTCAGTTAGCAGCCAAGTGCTTAACCACTGTGCCACCAAGGCTCCTTCACATAAATTATAAAGCATGGGAATTAATCAAAAGAATCACTCTACAGTTGTTTTTTATGCAGATTGTCATTTAAGTAGAGTTGTATATATTCTAATAGAAGAAAATTTGTATCAAGTTTGTCTTTTTATATTGATATGGACATGTGTCTGTGCCCAGGATCTT